CGATAAAAGATACGGTCTACAAGAACGACTATTCTTTCTCATTTTATAAATACATCACGTTTATTGTTTTGTATTACAAATATACTTTAGATGTAAATAGGTTATATGTAGGTCTAACAATGAAGCAAGTCTCCCTTCATTATCATGGGAGACTTAAATAAACACAGTCTATTCTGATGTGGCAAAGATCTTAATAGGAGAGACTGAGCTGTTTAGTGTATGCACTCGGATCGCAACCATTTTCTGCTCAATGCTAGAGATTATACATATGTCCAGGTTCCGAGTCGGACACTTACAGTAATTGATCTACTCATTTGTTCGCTCTTCCTTTCCTCTTTTCCTAGAGTGATGGGCAATGATAATGGTGGCAGTAATCACTTTCCCAACATTATTTGATAAACTGTATGAAGTTAATGCCATCCAACTCGTATACTGTGGTTAAAAGTGGAGAAGGTCAATGGCTCTCCTTCAACACATGACTTGGAGTTTGGCCCTACTGTTATTTACCTGTCATCTGTTATATATTTTGTGAAGACAGTAACTAACTGTATTTTTCATTCCTAAGACATCAAAATGTTTACAGAGTATCATTACTGATGGCAAAATGTTGATAGCAAAAAGTCACAGAGTGCTCAGAAATCACTTTTAATATTACATTTTAGGGATTTTCAAGTGTTGTTATGTCATTCATCATCAACCATTTTTCAACTCTGGCACAAAAAATAGCTGGGCTGTTCATTATCGTTTTCCGAGATTTCATTGTTCACAGGAACACAAAATATTCATTAATGGTTGAACATATAACAACACAGAAACATTATTTTTGTATATATGTCACAAAACACATATAAACCACTCCTAACTAACACAAAAACCTTGAATAAACCTCAATTTAACAATTCTACACATTATAAAGATACAAGGGTTAGATTTATCTCGCGATCAAAAACTAGCATTTCTATATTGATTAGAGTATTGTAAGAGTAATTTGATACTTTATTATTAATGTTACTTTCACCTATAAGATAATAATTATAAAGGATTACGATTCCATTAAATAGAGACTCAATACTTTGTTATTTATACTGACCAGCCTCATTATACGATCTCGTCTAACATTTGTGGAACATTGTACTGACTTAATAGTTTGTCATACATAACGTCCAGCCTCATTATACGATCTCTTCTAACATTTGTGGAGCATTGTACTGACTTAATAGTTTGTCATACATATTGACCAGCCACTTTATACGATCTCTTCTAACATTTGTGGAAAACTGTACTGACTTCATAGTTTGTCATACATACTGTCCAGCTATATTATACAATCTCTTATAACATTTGTAGAACATTGTATTGACTACTGACTTCGTATGACAAACTATCAGTTTACCAACCTCATTGTACGATCTCGTCTAACATTTGTGGAACATTGTACTAACTTAATAGTTTGTCATACATAACGTCCAGCCTCATTATACGATCTCTTCTGACATTTGTGGAGCATTGTACTGACTTAATAGTTTGTCATACATATTGACCAGCTATTTTATACAATATATTCTAACATTTGTGGAACATTGTACTGACTTAATAGTTTGTCATACATAACGTCCAGCTATTTTATACAATATATTCTAACATTTGTG